CAATTCAGCGTGTTAAAAAAAAATAACGCAATGAACGCAGCATCAGTTTGTTTTCCAAGCATCCTTTGGTGTTACATTATATGACCAAGCTGCCATTGATTTAAATGCATTTAAAATGTTCAATTGGACTCAAAAGAGAACTCAAAAAAAGATGCATCTGTCTCTATGCTAACAAACATTCGACACACACGTACAGAAAGCTGCTTCTCAAACAGTGCGCCAGTGCTGCATTGAGTTCTCCTTCGAGCTTTAATGGACAAAAAAAGCACATAAGCACAGAACTAAATGAGTTAAAAAGACTTAAATGAACGTAAAAAGTTGGGAGATGTGCGTCAGGTCTTAAAGTGACTGCAGCCTAATAATAACTCATTTCATCCCCAGAAATTGAGAAAAAAATCAATAAAAAAAAAAAAAAATCACAGTACTTAGCAAAAAGATGCAATTAAACATATTTATGTTGTTTCTACATGAATTTGGAGATTAAAGTAAATTTATTACAACAATCTGATAAAAATTTTAATATTAGGTGTGATTAATCATGATAAATTAGCACAAAAAAAAAATGTGTGATCAGTTTTTTTTTAATTGTTTGACAAGACTATACACCAGTTGAAATTCTACTAAATTTGCGCTAAAAAAAACATTTCTTAATATTATTATCAATGTTGAAAACAGTTGTGTTGCTTAATTTTTTTGTGGAAACTAATTTACAGGTTTTTGATTTTAAAAAAAAAAGTAGACATTTGTATCAGTGTCACTAAAAAAACATTGCTTCCTTAAATTTTTAAGAACAATCAAATTAGATGTTTAAGTGATTTAACTTAAATTACATTAAACTGACTTAAAAACGAGTTGAATCTTGCATAACTTGTAAAAAAAAGTTTAAAATTGCTTAACTTATTTTGATGAGTTAAAGCAATGTAAAAACACATGTTGTCATAACTTATTGGTCATATGATTTTTTACAGTATACTGTCACTTTTGATCAATTTAATGTGCCCTTGCTGAATAAAAAGTAACACTTTCCATCAAAACTCTTACTGACCACTAACTTTTGAATGGTACTGTATCCTGTATATACACATGGATGTCCACAGATATAACAGCCTACCTGGGGAAATCCTCATCTTGCCACTCCTCCTTTAGCTCAACCCCTTCCATTCTCAGCCGAGCCTCTGTGGTCGCCACCGACTCCTGGTGCTCAAAACTGAAGACAATGATAAGAAAAAAATGAATCCATTAGCCGAATGTTTTGACTTTAAAACAACTGTAATTCATATTCTGTGATTCACTCACTAAAAAAACCAATACACTCGAGTCGAAAGAGTCCAGAAGTCAAAATCCGATACTGGCTGATAGTCATTCATCACAGAGCGTGAACTGATGTAGTAACTGAGGACTGGTTGAAAAGGCTTTGCAAATACCTAATAGGACCACTGCACATTAATACGCAGTGTATCGCAGCTTACGGCATACAGAAATGTGTTAATCTCAAATCCAAAGGCATGTAAACTCTTGAGGACTTCACACACAACAAATTCTGTTACATACGAGATAAGCTCTTTTACAAATGAAAGTGGGCAAAAGAGTTTCACCTTCTTTGGGGAAAGATTTGGGTGGTGACTTTAAAAAAGCCTGAAATTCTTGGACTGTGTTCAAAGTTCAATGTTTTGACGTAAAGAACAAACCCGCTCTAGTTTCTTGAAAACAGAGCAGGTTCAGATGCCATTCTTACTAGAACTAAAGTCATTTCACAGCGAGATCACTGGTAAGATGGGACGCTCCTCAAGGGTTGATTTTTTTTTATATATATCAAATTAACAAACACTAGATCCAATGTTTGAATAGATTTATGAATTTAGGCTGTAACAGAAGAGCAAAAACCACAGAAAAACACATTCATTCTCATGAGATGTGTTCAGGCTGAAACTCAAACTAAAACCATAAAAAAAAACAAAAAAACAAGTTTGTTACTTGAAATAAAATTAACGTTATACAAAAAACGTTTACATTTTATTACAGATAGATGCCAAGGCAACATTGTAACATGATCTACTCATTTTAAGTAATCCTAAAACAAGAACGGGTATTGTTCATGAAATTCATGTATAATTTGATAAAAGGTTTTGATCCACTTCAAATGTTGACTATTGTAGTTTAAAACCCTTATTTGGGTGATTTCACACACACACAAAAAAATTTAGCATCCAAATTAAACTGAAAAAAGTACAAAATATAATATTAAAAATATGGCAGAATTGGTAACATGGTTGCAAATAACAGTTGGTAGCTAGTTTGGAAACGAATATTTGTTTTGCAGTTATTTAGCTTTTTTCATATTTTTAATTCAAGTAGTACAGTATACTACTGTAAACATAGTCAAACGTCCTGAGTCATGTTCAATCAAAAATAAGTTCCACGTAAAAACCTAACATATCTCTTTCCATACACTTTGCCCTGTTATTTGTGTGTGTGTGGTCCTGTCAAACCCTAAATTATGGAGACAAAATATCCCCACAAAGATGGCAATATCCAAAATCCTTGTGGGTACATTCTTTGGTGCCCCTGAAGAATACCGCTTATAAATCATACTAAGTGATATTTTTTTTTTGTTTTACAATGTATGAAACACAATGTATATGTGTGTGTGTGTGCGTGTTTTGTGAATCCAGGCTGTTATGTATTCCGATTTTAATGAATGAGGCACAGCAAAGGAGTCATTCATCCACCAGCTGTTTAGTCATTTGAAAGAGAAGCTGGCGCTCAGATGTGAGGGGGAGACGTGGACACTGGTTAACTGTGGACGGGAGCTAATTGCCATGCCATCCATGTGGTGTCCGTCATACTCCTCCAGGGGGAATGTCTGCTGCTCTTTATGCCACACTCTCTAGAAGAGATCTGCAACAGTTCACACTGTTGTCATGGGACACAACGCTGCATGCTTTCTCATGTCACTTTGCTAAAACTAGTACGTCATAAATAGGGAACGCACACAAATATGGTTTTCAAAGGGGTCCAAAACAACTTTGTACTCAATGTATGGACGAGAACTACATTGTGATTTTTTTTTTCATGACATGAGGGCAGTAGCAGCTCCTAACTGTAAATTAATGTAGAGCAGATTCTAGTTCTTAGCACTAGTTTATGTTTAACATTTTGTAACTTTATATTAGGGACGCATGATATATCAGTCACCGTATCGGTATCGGCCGATATGCCCATGTTCATTTTTAATGTTGTTGTTATCGGTCCAACACGAAGATTTGGCCGATATAATAAAGTTGATAAATAATTGATTATTTCCTTCACTTCAGATGCGCACTTTTCACCATGATGTTTTCGAATCGCTTCAAAAAGCGAAAACGGTTCAGTGCGACATGTGCAGCACAAGTCTATCATGTAGGCTATAAAATTAGAATAATAACATTATCATTGTGTGCTTGGGACGTGGATTTTATTGGTGCGACTTTTTTGAAATCAGGCTCTCAAAATTTATATAAAAAATTGGATTTAGATTTATCGGCCAACATATCGGTTATCGGCTTTCAAATATAAAGAATTATCGGTATCGGCTAAAATATTCATATCGGTGCATCCCTACTTTATATTTTATTTTTCAACCAAAAAAATGAAAATTTGCTGTTCATTTACTCACCCTTACTCATCATTTACTTACAACATTAAACAGTCCATAGCGTGTTCACAACAGTATTTATTACAGCTAATGATGTTATAAATAATGTTCAGTTTCTTGCACAGACCAGTCATTTTGCTTCATAACACCTCAATGTATCTTTAGTAGCCACCGGCATTAATTTTGTTTTGCCCTTGTCGTCAGCCATTGACGTCAGCCATTGACTAGCATTATACGAATCACCATTGACAGTTTCAGCTAAATGTCTTTGTTAGTGTTCTATTGAAGAACTAAAGACACCTACATCTTGGATGGCCTGAGGGAGAGTAAATTACCAGCCAGTTTTTTTATTTCTGGGTGAACTAGGCTTATCCCTTTAAATCAAAACTGTCAAATAGGATCACAGATTAGACTATGATTAATACTTAATAACAATGGTGGTAGCACACTGAGAATTAATTACGGAAACAATGTACACACTTTGTACAAAGCACATGAATGAATAGAGTGTATATAGCACACCTAGAGATTGTTAGGAGTATAGCTAAATAACCTGCAGGCGCACCTTTTGCATGTAACCACACTAAGTGACAATAAGAGCACAGAAAGAAAAGGCCCTCCACGAACAAAAAAAGTTGTTTTAACCTTCAGAAAATGCTGATCACCAATTTTTTCTATAGGGTTTTCAAACATGTTACCACAATTTGGTCTAAATAGTTAAAAAAAAAAAGATTCTTCAATGTTCTAATAATAATAAAAAAATTACAAAATAAAATTTAAACTACTTCAGAATTGGTAAAGGGTTTGCGAATAACTGAAAGTAGCTACACAACTTTTTTTTCCCCTCAGATTTACACATTTCAATTGATAGTAACATTTTTTAGTTATTCAATTAAAATACGTAAGGATTATACAATCCAATTTTGTGCCAAATCTCACAATTTATAGGGTAACTAAACCCCTGATCAGAGCCTGACTCGGAGTGACTCCACCCACTGACAATATTTGAAAAATGCTGAAAAAGTAGGCAGACCACAGCAGAGATTGAGGGGACGAAATAGATGCTAAAACACTCTATCCCAATCGTTTTCAATACTCGCAATTCCAACTCCTGACTCGCTAGTACAGTGCTTTTGACGAAACAAGCTGGTTTTTATACTGCCAATGGCGTAGCTCGTACCAAGAGCGTGGTGAGCTGAAACGTGCATACGTCACGAAGAACCGCTAACATCCAATAAGAAAATTAAACTGCAGTAGCCACCGTTCAACCTGAAGAGGGCAGCACTAAGATGTTTTTACACCATATATTACAGAAATAAAACACTTTATACACAAATGTCAAAAAAGTTACTCGAATCAATGACTGGTATTAATAAAGATCCATTCTTACAGATCATTAACTAAAAAAAAGTTGGTTTAGGGTAGTCATGGTAGACCAAAGTGTCCCGTATTCATGGACTGTACCAGTGACAGTCTTAAAACGATTGCTGCGTCCAAAATCGCATACTCTTTAGACCGTACTTATTTCGAATAAAGTAAATTTAGCTAAAAAAGTAGGTTCTATAAAGTATGAACTACATATTCGCCATGTTGTCATTGTAACATGACCTACGGTGTCAGTAGCGTAGCTTCACTGCCATTCACAAATCCTCACATACTGTTTTTTTGCCTACTATTTTGTAGGGAAGTATGCAATTTCGGACGCAGCCATAGTCTTTTCTTTCACTTTTGTGATGTGTATCCATATGCAACTTCTCAAACAAGAATAAAATGTAAAAATGGGACTTGATTTTGTTCATAGGGAATTGATTGGATGTTTGTGGTTTACTATTGGTCGATCTCATGCGAGTGACAGGCTGTCCCCGCCCTCACGCAAGTAAACACGTCATCATCAGAGAAGAGATGTCATTACAAGATGGATGTAGCAGATAAACCACTTATAATAAACACTGGCTATGATTTCACAGGGACTTTAAAAATACCTTCCATTGTGTTCAGCTGGCGAGGAGAGTGTGTGCACAGGAGTTGAAGTCCTCACGCCTTGTTTTTGTCTATTGTCTGAACTCGCTGCTTCCTGCGGTGGATCTCCTGCTTGTATCCCACTGTTTCCATTCGCCAGTGAATTCGCTGTTATGGAGTCCTCAGGTAGTTCATCCCCAGAATAAACCGATGATGATGATGATGATAAAGATGTTGGGCTACTTCTATTTCTGTTTTCTTGCGTCTCAGATGTCCAGTTGGGTGTGTCTGATTCGGGATTAATACTTTTGTTAGCGTTCATATCACTCGAGTCTCTCTGGTTTGAGACTTCTTCAGTCGCTATTGCATCTGTGGCCATGATCGATCACGTCGGGGGTATGTGATCGATTATTATCGATCAGGAAAACACAAGAAAAACAATCCTTTGCACTAAGAACAAACCTTAATAATAAACCAATCGGGACTTTACATAGTCTAATATAACGTTATCTCTGATTAATATCAATAAATATAATAGATTGTGTTTAAAATACGAACGTTTATGTGGCTATCAAGTAGGTTGCAAAACAAGCTTGCCCTTTTAAGTAAACTTCCCGATGAGTGTGTGTTTTTAGTGCGCAGTCAGTCCCTTTTCCTCTCCTGCTTCCTTCCTAAGCGCAACGGCTGTCAGTTTAACGGATATAACGGTGAGATTGCGTATCGATCATATCATAAGTCTAAAAATGCTCGGTAACGGTTTAGAGGGCAGATTTAGTAGTTGACAAACTCTGCGGATCCATTCTCATTTGTTGCGTTAACCGGCCGTCATTCTTCTTTTGGAAGTGTCGGGTACATTAAGGTGAAGTCTGACTCAACAATTTTACCCAAACTTCCGGGCCTCATTCAAAATAAAAGTCTCCCAGCTTCTATACTAAAAGTCACGAGTGAGCTCATACATTAATATATTTATTTCTCTAGATTTTTTTTAAGTGGAATTGTTTTATTTGGTGTTTATTTATGCGTTGGCATTTAAGATGGGACCCAATTGTTTTTATCTTCAGTTAGCGTATTTTAACCATGAGTTTACCAAGGAGTCAACACAACCGCGTCCGTGAAGAGTTTGAGATGAAATAGACGTGATAATATCACTTTTGAACAGAATGTTTATTTAGTCACTTTGTCAAATTATCTGAAAAGTTTAAAACTTATATTTAATTTTGTGTGTATGTGTTTAGTGTCTATGGTGTGTATAGGAGAATACTAGCCACAAAATTAGCATTAGCAAGATTTCCTCAACGGAGTTCTTACGTTAAACAAGGCTATTTCCAGATGTGGTGCAAATGACTCTGTCAATGCATTTTGCGTAGAATAAATCCCGAAATGCAACCGCAAATGGATAGATTGTGACTTAATGAATGAGTCGAATAGAAAATAGATGGCATAACATAAGGCCGTCAAGTATTGATCTATTCAATAGTAAACCAGAAGATGGCGGCAGAACACTAGTATTAGAAGGACCTCGCTACGTTTAGTCATTCAGTGTCAACATTGAAATCACAATGTGTTAGAATAAAATTATTTTTTCGAATAATGTTTTATACTCCGTGTTAGTACACGGAGGTTTAGTAAACAAAACAAGCCCCAATTTTTTACATTTTTGATGCGTCAAAATCTCCACATAAAGTAATATTTATAATTCTGTTTTTACTGTTTTTGATTTCTACAATAGGCCTACAGCTGATAAGATATTATAATTTAAGTCATGAGGTTTTAGTGATGCATAGAGGTGTCTTTTGTCAGTTTTCAAGAGCCTCATGACAATGGCAACATTGACTTTTAGTCTAGGCTGTTCTGAAATTGCAGTGACTAACAGTAATTAGCAAAATTTGCAATTTTGAAAGCAATGCTATAATATTAAACCTAAATGGTGACTTGCTTTAACAAATCTTCTTCTCTGATTCAATCATTTAGAGTTGTAAGCTTAAAGAATATGTTCAAAACATCTGAAAATTATTTAGAAAATGAGCAATTATGAGCAAAACCCATTAATACAAGGACTTTTATTATAAACTATAATTATTTAAATAATTGCAATGATCTATTTATACTTAGCTACTTATAACAGCATATGTAGGCTATACATAGTATACTTTTTTTAACATAACAAAAACAATTAGATAAAACAATCAATATTCCCCCAGGAAGCGATTCATTTAATGATGAAGTCCATGATTTATTGGTCTTGTCTTATTATCAAATGAGGTTACTTCATACTGCACGATGAGAACGAGCAATTAGCGTATGCAAATGAGAGAGGACTCTGAGCTTTCACTAATTTTGTGACAGAACAAAGAAAATTGACAGAGCTTATATCTAAAATGCAAAATAGTCACATTAAAAAAATATATTGTACCCAAGATATTTTCTTAAATTGGACTTTCATTGCAGCATCATATTAACATAGTTTATATATCCGGATATGGATGCTGTATAATGTCTTGGTTGCTTCTGGCTATGGGCGACTGATAAACGTACCACAGATATCTGCGATGTGTGCTCAGGATCATTGAGTATAATCACTAATTAACATACTGCTATTTGCTCTGTCTGATCGAACGGCCTCATTAAGTAACAGATAATCCCACAATATTCAAAGTTTACAGTACCTTTTTGTTTCCGCTCGCCCGGATGTTTGCAGAGGCTCTGTACAGGCGTTATACACAAATACAGAGCAGATGCTGACTTTGATGTGTGAATTTGTGCACAAAAAGTGCATATCGGGAACATCAGAATGATCCAGGATAGGACGGCTAGTCGTGGATTTCTCATTAACTAAAGCAAATTTGCTTAACACATTAAATAGCTTGCAAACAGGATGATGTTTTAAACTTTTTCTCCTTTCTAATTATCAATGTTTGTTGTCATGCAATAAAAGTGTCTTATTTTCCCCGTACAGATGGACCGAGATATTTGCTCCTGGAATATTAACATTTCAAGGATGGTGTTCCGAGAGTAAAACACGTTAACTATTGGGAAGAATAAAATATTGATTTGCTTGTATTCAAATGAGCTCAAATATGCTAATTCCTCACAAATAACCTCTCCCCTCCTCAAACATTTGGAAACGTGTGTGATCAGGAGTGGGCTTGAGAAACAGATGTGTGTTCAACGGGATTTGATTCCGTTGACATCTGATTCCCTTTCTCTCCTCCAGTGTTGTGAATGTTTCAAAAGCAAACTTTCTTTTTCCTGAGTCGGGGCGTGAGTTCCGCGCGAGATGTTTGATGTTTTCCTCCTGTGGAGCGCGACGAGATGAACTGAGTTCTTAATTTATGAGGACATAACAAGGAAGCCATTAAGCAAACATATTTCCCTGCTTCGGCTGGCATGAAAGAGCCACTCAGGGCGAGAGAGCCAGCGCTTTGGTTTTGCGAAAAGATAATTGCCTAAATGTTTACAAGTTAGCAAGAGTTGAAATCGCAACAACGGTTGCGCTAACAAAGCATCGTTCACGATGACCGCATATAAAGGTAACAAAAGGAATTAAAAGGCGCCTTTCGGTGTAATACCAAGAGGCTATAACCAATTTAAGCGATGATATTGAGGGATACAGCATCCAATTTCCACAAGTGGGGCAGTGGGAAGTGTTTAGGCTAGTTGAAGTGCACATCTTAATGAGAAAAGACAAAAAAGACTTCATGTGCATGATTTATGCAGTCTGTTTCTAGGAGCACATGCATAATTATTTATGATCGCTGAGCCCGGGAAAGACGAGTGGAGAAAGAGAAGCTGGTAAAAAATTCAAAAGCAGAAGAAGTTAAATGAATATTTAAGGGACGATGAAATATTAAGGGGAAACAAATGAGAAAAACATTTAAAACAGCATTATATATAATAGTGGGAGTTGTCGTGTGGGGAAAAAAAAGCGGCTGCCATGAGGCCTTAAACATCCGCGTGGTGTCTGATCCCGGCCTCGACGATTTGTTTTCCATATGCCGGTCGTTACGGGGGCGCGGTCAGCGGACGGGGGTTGGCGCGTTGCTGGGGAATATTAGCTTTTTGTTGAGAGCCGTTGGATGGATGCCATGGGCTAGTCACAATTTAATGTGTCGACTGGTCTGGGACAAGTGGAGGGCAGGACACTGGCATTGAGATGATGTTTTATGCCAGAGGACCATTGTTCTGACGATTTGTTTGACAAGGAAAAATGTGTGTGCTATAGGATTACATTCATGTGGTTTGAGGCTTTATGAGCATCCAAACTTTAACCCGACCCTTAAAACAATGCAAATATAGTGTTGGGACACTTCAGATAGGTAGCATTTTCCGTCGAGATACCGGCTTCCACCTGAAGAGGACAAATATGAAGAGTGTCATAATTTAAGTAACTTGTGTGCTTATTTTATCAATAATATTTGAATGTGTTCCATTATTTCCTGTTAAAAGTCCCAATTTTGAACTGTATCCGTGTAAGAGTTCACATTTAGGCCTATAGCCTATAATTCAAGTTTGTAGTGAGTAAAAATGCCAAACCAACATAATACCAACTGCTAATATACTAATTGTAATCAAAAATTTTAATAATTTAATAAATATAGACCAAATAATACGCAAAATTATTAACATAATGCTGGCTGAATTTAGTAATTTACCTTTTTTATGTTTAAAGATGAGGTGTTATGGAAACATATTTGCATCCTTTTTAAAGTTCACTAAAAAAGAAGTTGCTGCCTTAAATATTTAAGTACAATCAACTTTCAATGTTTAAGTCATTTCAACTTATACATTAAACTGACTTTAAAAATGAGTAAAATCTTGTATGATTTATTTTTTAAAAGTTAAAAAATGCTTAACTTATTTTGATGAGTTAAAGCAATGTCAAAACAGATGTTATCATAACTTATTGATCATATAATTTTATAAAGTGTATTTATTTGCATGATTATATGGGTTGTATCATTTGTTATTTGCAGTGTAAACAGAACAGACCTTGTACCCAATGTTGCATTTCACTTTAATATACAGTATATACACAATATATTCAATATATAATATTGTAAAGAGTGAAACTGGAATAAATAGAATGATTATATAAATGAGTAAACGAGTGAATTTAAATAATTATTTCTCCAATTTGCATTAAATTGAGAATTTGAATTTTCTACATTTATAAGTAGCCTACTTTAGTCAAATATTTTTATAAAAAATAAAGATTTTTTAAACTCAAACATTGATATGGCACTATGTCATTTGGCTTGGTAATCAAATTTGACAGATTTTATCTATTAATAATTGAATGTTTTTTTTTTTTTGTTTGTTTAGAAAGAGTTGGTAAGTACATTATTCGTATGGGTCCTGTTTTATGAATTTTTGTTTTCTCGCAACAGTCATTGGCCTCTTGTTTAATTTCCATTTTTCCAGATCTGAAAATAATTAAATCAGCAAACAAATAATTAATTGAGTCAATGAGAACAATTAGTTCAAAGACGCCTTTGAGAATTGGCCATGCATAGTGAATTGGTTAATTATCATACTACACAATAATTGAGTGGAGGAGCTCTCCGCGTGTGTGAAACTGCATGTGAGTAGTATTGACTTCTTTTGCAAATAAGAAGAAACAGACAGGTTGTGGATGTCAAAGGCTCTTCGTGAAACCATCGATGCCAATAAAGAGACTTTAGTTTTAAGAGTCTGTCAATTTTTTAAGCTTCACAGTCCTCATCCACTTTCATTAAATGGAAAAGAGCAGCGTGAACATTTTTCAAAACACCTCCATTTGAGTTCCACAGAAGAAAGAAGGTTATACAGCTTTGGAACGACATAGGGGTGAGTAAATAATAACTATAAAAATACATTTTTCAAATATTCAACTTTTTATACATGAATTGGCATT